AATAGAGTTAAAAATATCAAGAAACTAACTTAAAGAATCTGTACTAATGTGTGTATAACTATATATCTGGTTTTTGAATATACTGGATCCTAAAGTATAGATATTGACGACATTGTTTCATATAAAATATAAATATGAAGATAACAAAAAAATTGAAAAAAAAATATTGATATTAGTACTAAACTAACCATTTAAAATTTATTGTTTGTATGTGTACTTCTTTAATTTATTTCTTATTTTGATTTAATAATATAATTTTTTATAAAAGATAATAATCAAATATTTTGTTAGAAGTTAATGATTATCCTAATTATATTTTAAATTTTTAATATTTAAAATGAGATATTTATTCTCCATTTGATTATGTTTATCTGCATTTAGTTACGAAAAATTTAAACATAAAATTCTAATAAGTTGTATCTATACACAATTTACTTGTAGTCTTGATATATACATTAATAAAAAATACTTAATGTATAAAAAAATACTTTATAATATAATATAGATAAAATCAATTTCCGGTTATTTTGTATGTAAAAAAATAAATTTAATAATTTTGATTCATCTAAGTTTAAAATAATCTCATTAAGTAATTCGTTATATATTAAAAAATATTATTTTATTTAAAAACGAGAATAAAATAATTTTGTTGAAAAATTCAAAGTTTTTATAATAAAAAGGGACGTGACAACTGACGCATTAAAGTGGACCCATTCAATCCCATGTTTACCTTCCCTCTCCCTTTTCTTTTTCTTTAGTAAGAATTAATATATATATACATATTATATTATAAAGTATTTGACAAAGACTTTTAAAAATTATTTTTTATGCATAAAATACTGTTTATTAATGCATGTTACTTAAAACTCAAGATTATAAATAAATTGTGCGTAAGTACAACTTATTAAAACTTATATGAATTCGTGTAACTAACTGCAAATAAACATAATCAAATACAGGATAAATATTTTATTTTAAATATAAAAATTTAAAATATAATTAAAATAATCATTGAGTTCTAACGAAATACTTAATTATTATTTTTATAAAATGTTATACTATTAAACCGAAAATAAATTATTTCATTATTAAACTTAAATTAAATTATAATAAAAAAATTAATTACAAAAATTAAATAAAAAATTAGAACTTTTAAATAGTTGATTTGATATTAACATTGATATTTTGTTTTCAAATTTATATTTTATTCAAAAATAAAATCATTATTATTTCTTAAAAACACATAAAATCATATTATAACATCGACAGAGACAAATAATAAAATATAACAATAAAATCGAGATATATTTTTATTGCATTGTACGAGTACACTTCTTATATATATATATATATATATATATATATATATTAACGAATAATTATATGAGTTATAAAATTTTGTTTTTATTTGAATTCATGTAAGCGACAAAAATTATTAGGATGGAATAAATGGTTAAAAAATGTTAATTTATGTCAACGCAAAGCAAATGTGAGCTGAGGTTTGACCACAAAATCAAATCTTAAGCTTTAGCCATAAGTCATGGCAAGGCTACAAAATTGTCAAGGTGCGACTTATGAACATATATATTACAGAAATTTGTTCTTTTATTAACCAAATAATTAATGTTAATTATGTGAATCAATGTTAACGGTTAATTTTTGAAATTTATGAATTAAATTAATCATGACATATTTATTATAAATGAAAAATGAATAAAATATATATGGGTGAACATTCTTGAAGTGGGGTATTTATGGAAAAGATCATCTACAAACAATCATATTGAACATTATATGGTTATGAACATAATCTTATGAACGCCTTATGGTTATGAATGTATTCTTATGATAGCCTATAAACATCAAGTAATGATTTATAACAGCTCATTAAATATCATAAAAGTAACTTATACATAAAAAATTGTAACATCTTATTAAATACTATAAAAGTAACTTGTACATAAAAATTATCTATTTTTTATTCATCATTAAATCAAACATTTGAAATAACTTCCATTAAAGAATGAATCTTATTGGTTCAATAAGTTTACAAAGTTAACATGATAACTTGTGCATCGTGTGTTATTTTATATGATTTTTTCTATCCAGACATAGTATTTAATGCATTGATTAACATATATTTGTTTTACAATGTGTTTGTTTAATATATTTTCATTTCAAAATGTGAAACTTTTTTACGTATATTTTCTGTTTTATAAGCTCGCCAAAAAGTTTCATATTGTGAACCAAATAAATTTGAAACAAATTTATGTTAATCAGTATTCTAAATCTTAGTTTTAGATGGAAAACAATCATATGAAATAACACATGATGCATAAGTTCCTAAGATTATCACAATTTATTGAGTTATCAAAAGAAGGCCTCCTATATATAGGGTTGGGTTCCGGTGAGAAGGAAAAATTTAGTGAGAAACGTAAGAAGAGATATTCACATGTAAATTAATCCTACTTTGAATGTCAACACTAATGATGTACACGTAGATGCACCAGATCAATTATCTTCTAAAGCGTAATTCAGGTGGGTATAATATTAAAAGTGATCAAGGTACAAATCTTTTCTTACACTTCTCACTGTAACTTTATTTCTCACACAATCGTTCATCTTTCTCTCTCCCTCTATATATATATATGTGTGTGTGTGTGTGTGTGTGCGCGCGCGCACGAAGGTCTATAGAGAAAGGCTCAAACGGAAACAACATCTAAATAAGAGAATACGAAACGGTCAACTCACGTACAAAATAACATGTGATTTTATATTAACGGTAAAAGAAAGGGTGTGTGCGGGCCACGTGGCTTTCAACCTCAAATCCCATCCAAAGTCGCGTGAATCTGATACATGATTTAAGTGTAAAATCAAATGTGATTTGTCCATTTTCTTATTCTCTTATTTAGTTATTGTTCTCATATGAACTTAACTCTCTCTCTTTATACAATACATATATTAGATATGAGGCTTAATTTATTCAAATGACTTTTTTACATCTAAGTATAATATTTAACCTATTAATTAACATATATTTGTTTCACAGTGTGTTTGTTTAATATGTATCATATTCACAAATATAAAACTTTTTTATGTGTACTTTTGTTTCACAACCACACCATAAATATATGTGAAACAGATATATGTTAATGACTACATTAAATTCTAACCACGAACAAAAAATAACATGAAAGAGCACATGATACACCGATTGTCAGAGATCTAAAAAAAAAAAGTAATCCGTGATAGATATATACACATGTTTTCTATATACTATTATTGAGCGAGCTAGTCAATGTTATTAACAAGATGATACATTAATATGTATTTTTGAATATAAATCTAAGCTCTATTTAATATAATAAATAACAAATCACAATAATTAATGACACATGATAATAGTGTTGTTTTTGTGTGTGTTTATTTCTATTAAAATTAAATTGGAGTTTATATATCAAAATTATATTGAACTTTCAAAATGAAATCCATAATTTCTCATAAACTCATAACATATTGTTGAAGATAAGTAGCACATGTGATACTTCTATAATTAATCCAAGTAGCTTCTACTATAATATTGGTTCTAACTTTAATTCTTATAAATTATTTAGAAAATAACGGAATCCAATTCCATTACAAATCCTATAAACCAAACACATCAATGATTTCAAATCCATTCCAATCCAAATTCCTCCAAATTCAAATTCCTCCATGAAATCCAAATCCTCAAAAATAATCATGCAAACCAAACGGGACCCTAAGGATTTCTTAAATCATTAGAAAAATATTAGTAATAATTTTACTGGTTTTGTGAGAATTGAACCGGTGAAATCGAAGAGAAACTCAAAAACCCATGCCTTATTGTCAGTTAAGCATATCCCACAAGGTCAATCATTCGATCAGACAAGTGATTTGGTAAAAGTTTACCTGTAATATCTGGTAAACGACCCATAATATCGTTAATATTTTGATTAAACGAGTCACAACCATCATATTTTCATAGATATAGTTAAATAAATCATTATAACTTTATCTCAGCTTTATTATATAATATCAAAAAAAGAAAAACTATCTGTTATATACTTGTATAGTTACATTGTCGTAACTAGAGATGTACGTAAGACAAAATGGATTTGAATTACAATTTTGTGAACCAGACTTTGAACCTAAATATATAACTAATATTACACAAATTTTTATATATTTTAAATTTATTTAATTCAATTTCATATTCATTCTGATTATATGTATTCATGTGATTGTCGAACATGAATGAAACGTGATGTTTAAGATGAAATTTTTTTATCTGTTGGTCACGCTCTCACAAACATGAATTGCAATGTGCGTCTTTATGATGAAACCCACTTTCACTTAATTAAGAATAGAATTAAAAAGTACAAATCTATTTTTAAAATATTCATTTATTTTAAAATAAACTAAAGTAAAAATGCAGACATTTATTATGAGACCGAGGAAGTAAGGGGTTGTTGATTGGTTTTCCATTAAGTATTGTATAAATAAAATTATGGTGTACGAGTTAATCTGTCTGTATAAATTGAGAATAGTTTTTTTATTTATAAGGGGTTTCTTATAGATGGAAGGAAAACGTTTTTCAATCAAGAATAACATGTTTTGAAAAACGCTTATTTTTTTTTTTTTTGCATAATGCTCTATTTAAAATCTTAAATAATCAACCATTTTTAATATCATTAAGTCATTACCAACTAATCATATGTAATTGAACAAATAAACCGTTACTATCATTAAACTTATTAAACTATTAACAAACCGTACCTATAAATGAGATCATAAGTCATAAATATTAGAAAATAGAAACCCTAGTTTTAGTTTGGGCCAGGCTCATTCCATGGCCCAAATACGAAGCTTCAAAGTCAAATTTTTAAAAAGTCAACCACACCGACTGTCTGCTTTGCAAAGCAAACCCTCTTCAAAGAACACGATTTCCATTCATTTTCTCGCTCCTCGATCCATTGGTCATTCAGAATACAAGCAACAAAGACCCTTAGATCTAGTCATTTCATCATAAACCCATCTCGATTCAATCATATGATCAAGGCTTTTCAATTCAGTTTCCCATTTCTCTCTGTATCAATTCATCAATTTTGTAAGTATACCCAATTTGACTCCTTTTGTACTTCTGTAAATCTCAGCTCATTCGATTACCTATTCTACATTTTCCTGTAGATTTACTAACAGATTCACACCCATTTGTTTCAAAATGGGTAGTAATTATACTCAAATCCCTAAAGATTCTTTCGTTGAATTGCAATTACGAGATCAGAACGACCATGGATCTCAAAACCCTAAATTATCCGAGAAGGAAGCTTCCCCAATCTTCCATCCTCGTGATTTTGAATATGTTAAATCGGATGATTTAGAGTACGATGACGACATTGATCTCGATAATTTGCCTCTTGTAATTGTTCCTAATCAAGCTTCTGGTTCTGGGATCTATGGAGCTGTGTTTAATTTAGCTACATCTGTAATTGGGGCTGGGATTATGGCTCTTCCTGCCACCATGAAAGTTTTGGGGTTAATTGTTGGAGTTATTTTGATATTCTTAATGGGTATTTTGTCTGAAATTAGTGTCGAATTGCTTGTTCGATTTGCTGTTCAATCGAAATCGAATTCTTATGGTGAAGTTGTTCAACAAGCTTTAGGAAAACCAGCTAGAATTTTGTCTGAAATCTGTATTATAATCAACAATGCTGGTGTTTTGGTGGTTTATTTGATCATAATCGGTGACGTAATGTCGGGTTCGCTTCGTCATATCGGGGTTTTCGATCAATGGTTAGGAAATGGTTTCTGGGATCATCGGAAATTAGTGATCTTGATCGTTATGGTTCTGTTTCTTGCTCCCCTATGTGTGTTAGATAAGATCGATTCTTTGAGCACGACGTCGGCGGCTTCGGTTGCACTTGCGGTCGTGTTCGTGATTGTGGCGTTTGTCGTTGCGTTTATTAAGCTCGTGGAAGGTAAAATTGAAGCTCCGAGGTTGGCACCGGATTTCAGTTCAAAAAAGGCGATTCTTGATTTGTTGGTTGTGATTCCGATCATGTCGAATGCGTATGTCTGTCATTTTAACGTTCAGCCGATTTATAACGAGCTCGAAGAACCGTCGCCGAAAAAGATGAATAAAGTCAGTCGTTTGACGACCATTCTTTGTGTCATGATCTACGCTTCAACTGCCATCGCGGGATATCTTTTATTCGGAAACGATACAGAATCGGATATCCTAACGAACTTTGACAAACCCCTCGGGATTAAGTTCAGTACGGCTTTGACTTACATCGTGCGTGTCGGATACGTTCTTCATTTGGTTCTTGTTTTCCCTGTTATCCATTTCTCATTACGGCAAACGGTCGATGCGTTGGTGTTTAACGGATCGGCTCCGTTATCCGAGAGCCGTAAAAGGTGTTTAGCATTGACTTTTGTGCTTCTAGCACTCGTATACTTGGGATCCACTATGATCCCAAGTATTTGGACCGCTTTCAAATTCACCGGTGCAACCACGGCCGTGTCATTGGGGTTTACTTTCCCAGCCCTTATCGCACTTCGGTTAAGTAGCCAAGGGCCCGGTCTGACTAGCCGAGAGCGGTTTTTGGCTTGGTTGATGTTGAGTTTAGCCGTCATGGTTAGCTTTGTTGGAACCATAGGTAACGTTTATAGCATGCGAAGTAAATCCGAGTGATGTATTTCGCTCGATAGTAACAAACGCCTCCACTGATCGACCCTTGACTCGGGCAAAAACGCCACCGACACGACCTTTTTTGCAAAATGACCAAATTGCCCTCGAGTTAGATACTGATGTTATAAAATCGTGTATGATCAATTTTTACCTTTTAATTTTGATTAAATTTTTATTCTTGTAATAAATATTTGTATTTGTGTACAACGAGAATGTTTAAAGTGCGATCATTACTATGATTATTATTTTGTTTGATGTGTGTTTCGATCATTACTATGAGTTTTTTGGTTTTTTTTAACTGTGGATGTCCGGACCATTTTACACGTACCTCAACTTTGTAGGACTCGAACCGGTGTCTTCGTAAAACTCGAATCGGTGACCTCGTAGAAAAATCTCCAAAGGTTTAAGCCTTATTGTCAGTTGATCTAACCCAGTATATAAAATATGAAACAAAAATCAAACGTAAATAAACCCGTTTAAAAGTAGATCTTACAAACACGTTGAACCAATACTATAAATACATAAAGGACCGGTTACTTGATTTTGAACTAATAACTAGTCTTAAAAAGGCCCATTGGTTAGGTGAAAACCCGTTTGGGTAAACGGGTCATAAGTTTTGAATGTGAGATTGGTTAAAAAAAGTTTGGATAAAGGTCGTAAACTGGTTATTAGTTAATCGGAAACCGGTCGGTCAAGGACTATCCTTGTGCACCTCGAACTAAATATCATATGTTAAAAAAACATTATGATTAATCCTTGATGTATTATTGACTGCAATGCCACTAGTTAGAGTTTGGGACATATAGAATGAATTATGACCATACAGAAGTTGGTAAATGGCCTAATTTTGGTAAGCCCGACTTAGTAGTGACTGGGAGTTGATGATCTGGTTTTGAGTTTACGTTTCATATTTATGCAATATATACAGAATTATAAAGATACGTGGACGAATAAACGACAAAACTTTGTTTCTAAATCCTTCGGTGAAGCAAGAGGCTCAAACGGACATGGAGTCGAAATGTAGCTGGTTTTTGCTATCCTATCAGTTTTAGGATATTTTCTTTACGATAAATATCTCCTTTGTATCGATTCACAACACAACGACTATTATTTGGTTGACTTTTGTAGGGTTTTGTCCCTACGTAGTACATGCATCTAGGAATATGATTCAAATACGTGTTTTATTTTGCTTTTAATTCGTATGAAAAGACCAAGTTATTACTTCCAAATATGTTTATAATGACTTGGTCCTTTGGTGTGGTTCGGGGTCAAACCGGAAACCGCACTGCATATGTGGTTTGAAGATTGTTTTCAAACCGCAAATTGCACCACATATGCCTCAAACCGCAAAAAACCATAAGGTGTGGTTTATGCGGTTTGAGCCTAATGCATTTTAGTCCGATAACTATACAATCACAACTTCATAATAAGTTTGACGATGATCTTCGTATATTCAAAAAAACTAAAACTTTCGATACTTATTAAATGTGTAATTTAAAAAGGCGTAATGCAAACGAAATAGTTCGTAATTATTCCAAATATATCTTTCAAAAGTTAACATATAAATAATTTCGACCATGATTTTTGACAAAGGACTAATGAAAATAACTCAAATAAGGAATTTTCAATGTAAAAACTTAAAAAGAAAACTAAAAAAATTAATAAATAATCAATAACGTATTAATTCAAAACGTCCACGAAACAGACCTTAAACAAACACTATAACAAAATTGGGTTTATAGGACACCCCAAATCTCTAAGCGTCTCAATAAACCGCTTTCCCATAAGCATTGATAATCTTCCCCAAAAGTCTACCTAAAAATGGAGAGGATAAACATGTTGGTAACTTAAATATGTGAATTTGAGTTTTACAACAATTACTGTTGTGAATTTTTGGGTTCTACAACAATTTCAGATCGTGAGGGTTCAAGTCCCTCTATCCCCAAAAAGACCATTTGACTTCATAATTATTAAAATTGTGAGAAGTATCCTACCTTATTTGGTACTGGTGAACAAAAATTTAACAAAATTGAGAGACGAAGATAGAATCTGAAGTAGAGATGAAGTTGTAGACGTAAAATTACATGTGTTCAAAATGCCAACTCTGGACATACAAGAATCTTGAATAATTTATCGCTGGCGAAAAGGCATTTGGAGGGGCAGGTTACATCTCAAAATTGAGAGCAATTGAGAGAGCCAGATAATCGATTCCCCATTTGTCGATTGATAGTGATTGAGAGAGCAGAGAAGAACGAAATATGGAGTTGGGGGTAGTAAGGAGAGGACTGCGGGTGACGTGGGAAAAGAGGGATGATGAGGTGGGATTGATGTTCACCTTGGACATAATGTATACATAATGGGTGTAAAATGAAAAAAAATCAAAAATGAAAAATAAAGGTATAAAAAACGAGTGTTAAAAACAACTCAATATGTATTTATCATATTTAATAATATTCTTAAGTCTAAAAATATTCGATATTGAATTCATTTTGAAAATACTAAAGAGACGATGGTTTGATCCCTTATACTTTAAAAGTAGGAATTAGTTCAGATATAAATATAACAGTAATAAACCATAGAAATAAAAATCAAAATTTCAAAATTATAGAAATATAAACAAACCGCACAAAAATCCAATTTAGTAGTTTACTGGAATGGATAAAAGAGGGTGATACGTGGGGGACAAGGAGGTGGGGGTCACGATCATCCCAACAGATCTACAATACCACTTATTTAATCCAACTTTTTTAAAACAACAAAAAAGCAATCAATTATATTTACTTCATAGGGTCATGAACATGAACTTATACAAATTAAATTTGGTTATTTTTTATTAAAAAAATAATTTACTTTATTTTAAAAATGAGAGTATCTATATTTTTATTAATGAAAAATAGCCGAACAACATTTTAAAGTCATAGGCTACATAGAGCATCAATTAAAAGATATATGTTCACATAGAAACTGTGATTCAAATAACATCACATGTATTAAAAAGTAATTTATTCACAATAAACTTTTAGCAAAATGTCAAAAAAAAGAAAAAAAAAGCATATTGTACACTTAAAAAATAAAATATAAAAAAGAGAAATAAATCAGTAATGTAATTTCGGTTCTAATTTTATGTAACATATTTTTAAAACATCTTTTTTGATACATTACATATGGTATTTCAAACATCTGAATAAAAGTATGTTATATATGAAATATGAATTAGATGAAAATACATTACATTTTTATGCATTTTCATTCATAAACCAAATATCTTATATGAGATAAAAAATAAAAGTTTTAGAAATAGATTATACAACATAAAAATTCAAACAAAATAAGTTGCATTTTTGTACACTTTGTCGAAACATGAAAGTAGAGGATTTACAGAGTTACAGTACTCTAATCGTAGAGCTGCGGTTGAACATGAAATCTTCACGATGTGGAAAAAATTCGTTCAGATTGATTCAACGGAGCAAATTTGACGAACCTACGGTTTTGACTACACATGAAAAAAAAAACAAAAACAAAATTATATAATATAATCAAATATTCTGCAAAATTGGTTGCAACTGTACAACTGGTGAGAAACAGAATCACTCATCGGCTTTGCACATAACGGAGAGCCGGCTAGGTCTTGGTTGGAAGTCACTGCGCCGTCTCTGCTGGTGCGACGACGGACGAATCAAAGCCGCTAGCGCTCTCTTCACCAGATCACCTTCCACAGTGCCGATCCTCACAAGCGAATTCGTCATCGCCGATCTCCGAGCGTACAGTCTATGCGACCGATACGACACTGTACTGTCATGACTGTCGTTGCTATTCGTCATACTCGATTTTTTGTGCAAACTACAACGAAACGATCCAGGATGCGTTGTTGGCGAGCACAAACACGTCTTCTTCGATCCATGACTCCACGCCTTCTTGCTGTTATCACGATCACAGTTGCGATTCAAGTTTCTAGACGACGAAGCCGCAACAGAACGGCCAGGAGACTTATGACGATGATCGATTGAGAAACGGACAGAAGGAGATGAAGTCAGGTAACCACTACGAACACTGATCCTCGATGGCGACTTGGATCTGGCAGCAGATGAGAAACCAGACATGGAAGAAGCAAAAGCAGAGGAAGACGATGAGATTGTTGAGGAACAGAACCTACCAGACGGCGAAATTGATCGTTGTAAATTGCTCCGCATGTCGAATACTCCACTTGCTTTGTTTTTCTCCGGCGGCATCACCGGAATTTGCAGAATTCCCAGACGAATCAAGCAAAAAGTGTAAAAAATTTGGGAAATTTAGAAGAAGGCAGGTTTTGGTGTTCGGTTCGGGAAACCTAGCGAAACAGGAGGCATCGTTTATATAGGAGTTGAAAAGGTAGGGACAAAAATGTAATTAAATGGGTTTTAAGGGTTAGTTATAAAAAAACTGGCCGTTGGTTAAAGGAAACAACGGCTTAAGGTTCCTAACTGGTTCCATAACTGGGGTCCGATTGGGTTTAAGCTGTGGGCGGTGAAATATGGATCCCACTTTTTGTCACGCCCTTTTGAGAAGAGTGTAGATCACGCGATCATATGATTGGCGCTTTACTGATACTTGAGATTGCTGAGAGTGGGATTGTGATATATTTGTTGAACGGCTTGGGCGCCAAAGTTGGCGCCTGTTGTCACATCACATGAACTAAGGATCTGATCGTAGCGACACGTGTCCTGCTGCTAGTAATTTCTAGAAAATCGACTAAAATACCCAAGTTTTTCGACAAAATTTACTTTTAGCCGTTTAAGGGTTATTTGACGATTGCTGGATGGTTTGGTACAAAATGATTAAATGGTTAGAATGATTAAGAGGCTCTCATGATATAATGCAAAATGAAATATAATTGTTTGGTAATTGTGTACAATAGAATTAGGGCTCTTAATGGTTAAGGGAGATATATGATACAAAATCATTCAGAGGGTTTTAGAACAATTATAAGAGGCAGATTTTTTTTTTGTCAAACAAGATTCACCTTTTAACGGTTCAGAGGTTGCCGCTTAATGGAACTATTAAGAGGTAAACAAACAACCTCTTAATCAATTTCGAATTTCCATATCGCAGAATTCAATGCATTTACATAAAATTGATTTTTAGATAATTTTTTTTCGTAATTTACATAAAGAGTGTGAATAATTTTTCTCGAAGTCCTGTAAATAGGTTGAGTCGTAAATGCATTTGCATAAAATTTGGTTAAAATGGAAATTCGGTTTCTAAAATAGGTAGAAATTGAATTTGGTTGGTGAGTTTGATTATTTTAGCAAGTGAAATTGGCTACTTTCATCAAATTTTATAATTTTAACGAGTCAATTACGATTTTGGTCCGTACAATTTTTTTATTATAAAACCCCCAAATGGTATGCATTTTCGACACTACCATTATGGTTTTTATCATGAAAAACGCAGTGACAGAGCCATACAGTAGCAAGAAGGGGCATGCGCTCCTCCTGGAATATTTATAAAAAAGTAATACGGGCCCAATTTATTTACTTTGTCATTTAATTCTTCTCCGATGGGCTGAGCTCCCCTTTTGACTTGCTACGGTCCCTTTCATCTCACTTGGCACTCGCTACTCCTCTGAGAGGGTGGGGAGGGAAGCAATAGGCACAGGGATAGAGAGAGAGAGAGAGAGAGAGAGAGAGAGAGAGAGAGAGAGAGAGGGTTAGGGTGTAGGGATTTTGTTGACTTTATTACAATTCACCATCATATATCATTTGTTACATACACTTCTCCATCTTGAACTGGCTTTAAACTTAAAACCAGATTGTTAAGTATCTGATTTTGGTTTAATGATTGTAAACAATGTCGTTAAGTACATTAATGGATAAGTATATAACAAAGAGAAAAACAACTGATATTCTTCATCTATGTTATATCCGTCTTCCCCTTTCAAACTAGATCTTGACTCTGACCCTGGAAAAACACAGTGTCTTACTGAAAATACATACCATGACAGTTTTTAGTAATAACAGAGTTGTAAGGACTAAAACCAGAATAAATATGAAACTACATGGCCAAATAAGTAACTCACTCAAACTTGAAGATATATTTGAAAAAAATAGTTTAATTAATAAATTTTGATCGGCTTTCTATTCAAACTTTTTCTTAGAATCATGAAATAAAAAATAAGTGGGAGGGACACGCGGCACCTTCTAATGGAGGCATAGTAGTCCGAATCTCCAAACCGACCGGAGAACACGCGTTGAATTATTAGTCGCAAGCTTTTTTTTAATTTTTCAATAGAATAAATTGTATAAAAAACTAAAGTATTTTAACTTTATTTTATTTTATTTTATTCTTATTTCAATATCGTATTTTTAAGACTTTGATTTTAGTATTTAAGATGTAAGATTTTAAATATTTAAGTATTCGAAGTCTTCAACCTGATTATCTGAATATTTAAATATTTAAAATTTTATATCTTAAGTACCAAATGAAAATTTTGAAAATATGTTATAAAAATCGATTTACCCTTTTTAATAATATATTTTAAAAAAAAGTTTTAATTAATTTAAAGTATGTTATTCAAAATAAAAATCAATTTACCCAAAATAGCATTAACAATATTATTATAATATTTAAAATATCTTCAACAACTGTTCTATAATTTTTTTTTAAAATACAATACGAAAAGTCAAAATATCTAAAAAATAACATTTAACTCCAACAACTTTTTAATTTTAACAGTTTTAATATTATTTGTATTATTAAATATTCAGTAAATTTAATAAAATGTTATTTCTCTTGTTGAACATTTATTGTCAATACCTTTTTATTGATGGAAAATAATTAAAATATTGTTTTTCCTTTTTATATAGAGTTTTAAAAGAATTCTTAAAATTTAGAGACTTTCGTATTGTCTTTTTTTTTTTTTCTATTTTACCAAATATATAACATAGCTGTTAGTGTACATAACTCTCATAAGTCACCGAATTTTTTATTATAGTATAGTTGTTAGAGATGCTTTGAATACATTTAATAAACTATTATTTATCTCTCATATACACTATTTTCAATACCTCTTATTATTGAAAAATGATTAAAATAGTATTTCTTTCTCAAATATATAGTTTTAGGGGTCGTTTACCAAATAATTACTCGGTAAACGCTTACTGGTAAATTTAACACTATCATTTACTTGTCGGATAAGATTTTAGCCCACCACAAAAGTATTGTATGCAACAATTTAGCCGGTATATAAACGTTTACCGTGGTAAGAATCGTCGCATTCACTTACCGGGTAAGACTATTGGTCTTTGTCTCGCTCTTACTGGATAATATTATTGATCTTTACCATATTAATCTGGTAAGGTAAAATGACTTGGTGTTCATTTACCCGAGTAAGCGTTTGGTAAACGGCCCGTTGGAGATTTCTCCTTTGATATTTTCACCTCTACTCTCTTCTTTCCATATTTTAGCATGCGTTTTAACATAATTGTTATAATAAAAATTTGCTAATTCTCGATTTTTGTTATTTTAGCGTAGTAGTTGGAGATGATTTAATCAATTAAAAATTGAATATCATAATCATCCAAAAACAGTACACAAAACCAATTATTTGCGTTCAACTCTAACAATTTCTTAATTTTGAATATTACAACCCGAATATAATATGATAATACAATTAACTCAATTATTGGAAACAGTAAAAAACAGTTTTTTCTAACTTAGTTAACAGTTTTGGAGACTTTCCAAATTATTTTACGAAACATTGTTTATTTTTCTCGTAGATTGTTGGAAACCGTATTATTTTAATAATTTATTGTGACCGCTGATAATTCATTTAATATTATAATTTTAATATATAGTAACATTTTCTTTCCCTAATGTCATATTGAAGTCGGTTGAATCTTTGCTTTTTATACATTGTTCCGTTGATGAAAATATATGATATTCATCATCATGAGATCTCAAACGTTGCTTTTGATTGAACATTTTTAAATATATGGTGTTTGGTTTATCGGTTTGGGAACAAAGGAATAAATTGTTTACCTGTTAAGCGATTAGCAGATGTCATTTATCTTACTGGATGCGCATGACAATAACATTACTATCAAACTCGTACTCATTTTTCTAATTGCAATATAACAATCCAAACGCTACCTCAATATTTGCTTATAAAATCCCAAGAAAAATCCGTATGACATGTATACAAGTTCAATAATTAATGATTCGTATTCTATACAACACGATAAACGTTGATGTTAAAGACTCGAAATAATGGAATTAGAGTTCCAACATCGTTTACAAGAGAAAGTGAGAATCTGATTCTTGAACATCCCATTATCTTTTTGTTATATAATATTAACGATATTCAAGTTTCATATACTTTAATAAATATATCGAGTTCTTAGATCAAATGCTCAAAGAAGTTCAAAACTTTCAATAACATCATAAAATAGTTTTTGGATATAGTACGATTCGTACATGCCTATAAATCATAAAATTACAAGTTGGGTTCTTGTGTTCGTATTTTTATTAAAGAGCCGAGCCCTAGCTAATGCTATCACAGAGACCCAACTCGTTAAAAACTGTAATCATTTGAACCGAACTTATTCTTGAAACTCAATGTTTCGCTCTATTCTTGAAATTCTCCACCAAAATTCACTTTAGTTGAAACGAACATCTATTTAAAAAGCATAACATGACTATTTAAGTCTTGTCATAAGTTTTTAATACGGATAATGCTATAAGCACCTTTTTTTATGTTAAAATCAGATCAAATCATTAATTGAAAATGCAAAAAGTAAGTTTTGATACTGTTATATACATGTGAAGATACAATTAACAGATAGATATGTATTTAACAACATATAAAAAAAGTATTTAACCCAACTTTTACTAATTCTTAGACGATATTTTGAACACGAAATAACTGACACACTTTTTGTTAATGGGGAATTTAATACCATTTTCTTTTCTTTTTATCATCAAAATCATTCGGAATTTTTTTGTTCTACTATTAGCCGTTCAAGTTTAACTTGTAAGGATTCGCCAACTTATCAAAATAATTCGCGACTTTTTTTGTACTATAACAAAATAAGTATTTATAGACTTTTATGATGTAAATATTTCATATGTGATGTTACGTCATCTATATTCCTATATATATATATATATATATATATATGTTTGTATGTGTGTGTATATATATATATATATATATATGCCAATTTATACAATATGTTTGTATGTATTTAACGAGGGTTTTTAAGATTATAAAGATAAATAATTATTTGTTTTATACAAATGTATTACAATAAGTAGTTATTATAAATTTGTACGATCTAAACCTTAGACTCAGAAAAAGAAAATCCCATAGACTTGATATTTTCAGTGATTAAGGCCCTGGTCATTTTTAACAAATAAGTCAACATGCTTGATTATCAAAGCGAACAAATAGATCTTTAAACTTACTTAAACTGTTAAACCAGAAAAAACCCAGATGGACTTTCATATTTTAGTCGATTAAGCCCTTGAATATTTTTTTTGAACAAATAAATATTTAGTTTTATGAAACGGAAAGAATATACCAATTCTGTCTCCATGTACCAACAAATCATTAACACAGTTACACAGGTAGAAAAGTTGGGTTGAGAACTTGTTTTTTGTTTAGAACCCGCGAATCGCCACAAAACGCCATTTGTCCCTCTTCATAATGAATATTAATCTTGAACAACACGTTAATGATAAAATATGTTACAACACCATGATGAAAAGACTTTTGTTTGATAGATTTTTTAATAGATAGAAGGATCATGTTTTTTAATTGGGAGTGACATATTTAAAAAAAACTTACCTATATACATAAAACGACTCTTTAAAAACTTACTGAATAAAACACTTTCTGCATCATTAAATTATTAGAAAACAATCATATATACCTGATCGAATAAGCTATGACTGAAGACTAACGGGCCCTACCTTAGCCCCATAACATATAGGATTCGTATTTATCTTTGTTTATGTTATTATTTTTTAATTGTGTTACTTAAATCTTCCAATTTTATTCCCCATCCCACGCACATCACGTGGAACTACAATTATATATATTCCCATATATACAACCTCTCACCCTGCAACATACCAAGCTCACATTCAGTGTCGCCATGGATTCTTCATCATGGAGCTTTTCGACTTCATACTCTCTCTCTAGACCAGACCTCGACCTTTCTAAATGGATCAATAGTTTGCGAAAAAGCATGGAAGATGACGATGAAGAAACCGCCAATACCGAAGTCTGTATCTTCACTGTACCCAAAACCCTACTTGACACCGATCCAGATTCCTACATCCCGGAACAAGTCGCCTTAGGTCCCTTCCACCAGTGGCGCCACAATGTTTACGATATGCAGAAATACAAGCTCGCGGCCGCCAGAAAGGCCCAGAGTCGAAGGAACATTAAATTTGAACGAATCGTGGAGGTGATGAAGGAAAACGACGAAGCCAGAATCCGAGCTTGCTATCATAAGTTTCTGGATATGGACGGGGATACCCTGGCGTGGATGATGGCGGTAGACATGGCGTTTTTGCTGGAGTTTCTTCAGGTTTCCTACGCGCTGTCCTTTATAGAACTTAAGTTTATAAAAATTAGATAATTTATACGCTCTATCTAAAGGTATTAAAATAGACTTAAGATCATGTGATACCAGATTGTTAGGTGAGACCATATAAATAACACTGAACCTTCACAGCAAAATACTGTAAAGGTATACTTTCACATTGTTTTTGTTGCGAAGGTTCAATATTTTACCAATTAATCAATTATCCATATATAAAGATACATATGTGAACTACGTATCTTTTTACCAATGATTCACATGTGAATTAATTAAACCTTTTGTTTTTCTTATTTGAACGTCCTTGAAGCCGTCTATAATTAGAATATTTAAACATTTTCCGCATCCTAACAACTTAAATGCGATAAAACAATTTATTAAGACATTTAGACAATTTTGATAGGTTTACTACATGAGGGAAGAAGGCGGAGGCCGGAGTATGGATATCGGCTCTATATTGTCGAGTGTGGTTGATGTTGCCGGGAAGAAACTATCTCACATGGCGATTCTCAGGGACGTGGTGAAACTAGAGAATCAGATCCCATTGTTTCTGATCAAAACGACGATGGAACATGATCGGACTTCCGATAAACCGGCGGCAGAGACTCTCCAGATCATGCTGATGGGGTTGTACCATGAGCTTTCTCCCTTCCAGTATCAACACCAGTCCCCTTGTGTTGATGTAGATGACTGTGATCACCTGCTGGACTTTCTGTACCACATGACTGTGCCAAATGATAAGGAACTAGGGATCTTCACGGACGTCTGTGATCAGACAACAATCGATTTTGGTGCCACCGGAGAAAAAGATGGAGATGCCGGAGAAAATGAATCTTTCGCAAAACCAACTCATCTTAAACAGTTTCTTGATTACATGTGGAAGATTATCAAGAATGCAAACTTGGGTTTCTTTAGATTAGTCAAGAAGATAACCTTCTCGAGACCGATAATGCTCGTAATGAAATTGCCATGGAAGATTATATCTAGGCTTCCCATCCTCAAACTCTTCAAAGAACCAATTGAAAACATGTTGGCAAATCTCCAAGGTGAAACAAAGGAGAAACCAGAAGATGAAAACAACGCATCGAACCCACCATTGATCGAAGAAATCACGATCCCTTCAGTCACGGAAATGGCGAAAGCCGGGATCCTTTTCTCACCCGTTAATGGCACGATCTCAGATATTCGTTTCAACGAGAAAACTAGCACCCTTTACCTCCCCGTGGTGAGTCATTTGCAAAAATCGGGTTGTTTCATATCTAATCTATCTACAAAATAGGGTTTTCAGCCCAAAATACATGTCTACAACCAAAAAAATACAGTTTCAAAAATGTGTAAATTATCACACACTACACATTTTTTAATAAAGTGACAATTCTATCCTTTATAATGAAGGAAGTAATGAATTTCTCCACCTCAAATTATGGGGTAAAACTGGAATGTGACCGCTTATTTTTAGACGAATTAAAAAGGTCACATCTTTTTACACGATTTTACCTAGCCACCATATAAAATTGCACAGTTTTTATCATTGCTTACAAGGGGTTTACAGCAATTTTACACGGTTTTAGAACCGTGTATAAGTGTCACATAATTTCTTACAAGTTCACCTGTAAATGGGTCCAGGTCCATTTGGACGTGAACACGGAGGTATATATGAGAAACTTGGTTGCATACGAAGCTTGTGTTGCATCTGGACCATTAATCATGGCTCGTTACACCGAGCTAATGAACGGAATCATCGACACCAAAGAAGATGCAAAGATTTTGATGGATTGCAAGATCGTTTATAACCATTTGAAGAGTGAAAAAGAGGTTGCAGATTTGTGGAATGGGATGAGTAAGTGTGTGAAGATGACCAAAGTTCCATTCATGGATAAAGTCATTGAAGAAGTTAACAAGAGGTATGATCGAACATGGAGGGTGAAATTAGGGAAGTTCATGACCAAATATGTGTTTGGATCTTGGAAGTTTTTGACATTGTTGGCTGCTATGTCTTTGTTGTTCTTGTCGACGGTTCAAACCTTCTGCTCGGTTTATAGTTGCGCTCGTGCCTTTCGACAGCTTCCCGAGCTCGAAGAGCCGCAGTGAACAAGCTCTAGATCCCATAACAAAGACATAGCTGTTATAAGACGTCCTTATATATGGTACTTGAAAATGAGAGTTGTAAGTTTTATGTTCAACAATTATACGTCTTATATAATGATAAAATAAACTACGTTGTCACGAATTTGTACGACATAATATGCTGTTTTAACTGACATCTTTAAAATAGAGAATCTATTAAAGTTGAATGAAAACAATTAATGATAAAGTAACATAGTTATATTGTAGAGAATGCTCCCCAGAAACAGAGAGTGAGATAATGTAGATTAGGATAGGGAGCACGGATGGACTCATAAATTTTTTCAAACAATTACACCATTTACCATAAGAAAAAAATATAGAGAAAAAATTTCAAACGATGGCATCGTTTGACTATAAGAAATTAACAAATATACGGATTTTTTTTAAACGGTGACACTATTTTTAATCTGGGAAGAAGCAATTTTTTAATTGAACGTGTTGATTCATATTTATTTTGACTACTTTATCGTATTCTATTCATTTTTATTCGACCTTCCCAGAGTTCATTCTCCGGGCAACTCCGTTTAATCCGGTGGATTCCTTCCAACCTACTTCTTTTATGATCTCATTGGAAATCATATAAAGACRATTCCTATTTGATATAGCTATTTGTGCAAGTCCTTAAACCGATAACCATCTTTCGGCTAACCTAGCCTCCTCTGTCCCTCGGGACCAACAAGGGGTAGACATTTTGTTCGTCGAGATAATTGCATTTTGATTGAGTTATTGATATAAGGAAAAATGAAGAAAGTAAGGTAGACAAAAAAAATCCTTCTTTCTTTTAAGAGAATATTTTTGGTGTAGAAAGTCTCAAATTCAGGATCTTCCGCCGCGTTTGACTATGAAAATAACACCAACATCATTTGAATTTGGGTCTGGGGTGAAATTAAGGCCTTATTATACACCAACTCTACTAAATAAAACTTGTTCTCGTTATAGTATCAAAATACATACGATGACACACAAGAAATTAATATGGTTGTACCTTTCACGAACTTAATTTTTTTTACCTTTCAACGAAGGAATAATACGGAGACACGTGCCACTTATACCACCAAAGTAGTTCCGTCCATGATAGGAAGAATAGATGTAGGGTGTCTACTGGGAGATATATATGTACAAAAACTATTAAGATTTTTTTTGTCCCATTAAATTGTCCATATTTGTCTATTGAACTCGTTCGGTACTGTAATTTCGTACCAACAACTTATTGTAACATTATTATATATGACTGATCAAAGTTGTTGGTCTTGTAAACTTAAATTATATCAAGTATTCTATTACGTCGCACAAGAACGACCATCCGTCCTAAAAAAATCTAATTTTGTCATAATAATTGATTATTGTAGAACAACTGAAACCCCATTAGACTTTTATATAAAAGAACTCTCGTTATATGAAATCTCTAAAATAAATAAACTACTGGGAGACGCATGCTCGAGACACAAAAATGTATGTTGGGAGCTTTAATAGTAGTAGTCTAAAAAACGTTATATTAAAGAGTTCCAAAAAATTGTAGCATATAATAAGAAAGAAAAAAAATTTAATAGATAATAAGAACCCAAAAATATATCAATCAATTACATTGGAGAAAAAAAAATCAAGAAAAGTTAATTAGCTACTCGTTATATGCTATTGTTTATTGCATCTCTAATTTTTTTGATCTGCTAATAAGGTCCAATATTATTGGCTATTGCTATATATGTTTGACTGTTTCCCTATTCCAAATAATTCAACGGATAACAACTTCAATTAAACTCATGCGATTTTAAGAAAGATGTCCATCATTTGATTAATAATAATTAAAGATCAACAGTAATGAGATGCACTAAGAAACACTGATTAAAATCTGTAACTTGCTTTTTGTCAATTAGAACAAACTCTGAATCTCAAATTATCGATCAATCCGATAAACCCCTCAATACAATAATACAGATTCATATAACTCACACGATCAACAAAGTTATGTTAACAAGCAATCATAAGTGAAATTATTTGATAACGGGTTTGAAAAAAAGTTTGTAAACGTTTAACATCATAAAACTATTTGTAATACTTCTGATAAAAAGTCCATCAAATATTAATTTTAAATTCAGAAGTTGAGTGCATACACGTACATGAAGCCCTAAGTGGAAACCTTTGATATAAAATCAAAATCTTGGAACTCCAACTCTCCATGTCCCCAAATCGGCAAACTAATCTAACAAAATATATAAAACCCACATTTGAAATCTAAAAGCTAATCGAAGCAACCACCTAACTAAGCAAGAAAGTTACAAAAGCAATCAAAGAACAAACCTAAAATCGAAGCAATAAGTGTGGAACCGGGACAGTGGTCTATGGTCGTCGCGACGGGTTGTGTGCAGGAGATGGTCGTCATCACTGGCACCGGAGATGGGCAAGCAAGAACAACAGATAGTACCGGTTCTCGTCTGGTTGATTTCGTTGAATGAGATGGGAGACTACAATTTGTAAATGGAGAAACAAGTAAGAGGGAGGGTTTCTTGATAGGTAGTACCTCTTAAAAAATTTAAACATAACAGTAAATGCCATTCTATAATGGAGTATAGATAAATAAAGGTGTAAAATGAAAAATGAAAAAGTAACAGATATAAAATAAATTACATAACTAATTATATGTTTTTAAATGTACTTTAAAAAAATTTAAAAATAATCTTCAGATATGGAGGTTGTGCAACTTTAAATTTGTACATTACGCATTAAAATATATACCTCTTAATTTTCAACAAAGAGGTTTCACCAACCAATTTTCCGCTTGTAATTTTCGACAGATCACCAGTGGATTGAGCATCACAGACGGATTTTTCTTTGATGATTAAACATCTGCCGGTAGTCGTTGGTAATCATGATGACATGCCTCATATTATTCGGTAATGGAGTTTTCTAAAGGATTTTTTTGTCGATTAAGTCACTTTATTCTGTAGTGATACTCTTTGTTTCCCTCTATTCTCAAAATCCTCATCCATAACTCAATTTAATTGATTAAAACTTCTACTTTTCAGCCTCTCACATGTATCTCAGTTGACAAAAAAGTAATATGACTTTATCCAAATACAAGACAAATATTAGATTCAATCTGTAGCATTACGCTAGCCTCAGCTGCTAACTGAGCCAAAAATAAATGCCCATCACATTGGTATATTACCGTCAATCAACGTTTTTCCCAAAATGTCTACTTTTTAATAGCGTAACATGACTATTTAAGTCCCATCATAAAGTTACTAATTCTTAGACGATATTTTGAGGAAGACATGACACACTTTTCGTTAATGGAGAATTAAATGCCATTTTCTTTTCTTTTCTTTTCTCTTTTATCATCAAAGTCATACGGAATTTTTGCCTTCCATTATTAGCCATTAAAGTTAAAACTCATAAGGATTCCCCAACTTGTCAAAGTAATTCCAGACTGTTTATATTACGCACTATAACCAAATTGCCATTTTATGACATATAATCATCTTTTTATCGAATATATATTTAATCAGATATTTATTCGTTTTATACAATTGTGATAAGATAAGTTATTATGACAAACTTGTGCGATCTAATAAGTTTTATCTTGACAACAAAATTTGGTTTTATGAGACGCCTAAAATGTCTAAGTGCCATAATTGAATACTTTATGTAACTTAAATTTAGAGGACCAGACTAATAAATATCTAAGATGAGTTCATAGAACACTTCTCAAAAGTGTCATATGAAATAGCTAATACGATATTTTATTTTAAAAGCATTTAAAAAAAATTGTTGAAATGCGTAAAAACATTCTATTAACCTATTGTAACACATTTAGATATTGATGTTTTGGTTTGATCCTATAAACCAATTTTGTTGTATTTAGTCGTTCTATAAATCCAGTTTTGTTGTAATATTTGACAACTTAAATCATACTACACAAGTAATTTTGCTGTGAAGTTTAAAGTGTAAATAAGTGGTCTCACGGTATCATAAAAACATGTTGGTCTCATGTAAACCCAACCCTAAAATATTGTTTCTATAAAACTAAAAATCTCATCAAATAACGAATACATTTAATAAGATACTCATTTCATTGTATCGCATATAACACACAATTCGGATTTATCTTTATTTATGTTATAATTATTCTTAATTACTACTTAGAGATGAGTTGTTATATAACCATTTATTTTTTACAACTAATACAATCCAATCTCAATTGTTTATTTAATTTGATAAATATGTAATTTTATAGAAGTTTTGATTGTTTCAAAATATAAAGTATTGATCATAATTAATGAACTTTATTAATCTTTCATAAATATTTAAATCATAACAAATATAATAGCGAAAAAACTCTATCTCATTTCACCCCTCATCCCACCCACATCCTATATAATATATATACAACCTCTCATCGTGCGACATACCACGCTCACATTGAGTGCCGCCATGGATTATTCATTGAGCTTTTCGACCTCAAATTCTTTCTCTAGACCAGACCTAGACCTTTCCAAATGGATCGATAGTTTGCGAAAAACCATGGAAGACGACGATGAAGAAACCACCAATACTGACGTCTGTATCTTCACTGTACCCAAAATCCTACTCGACACCGACCCCGATTCCTACATCCCTGAACAAGTCGCCTTAGGTCCCTTCCACCAGTGGCGCCACCATGTCTACAATATGCAGAAATACAAGCTCGCAGCCGCGAGAAAGACCCAGAAACGAAGGAACGTCAAATTTGAACAAATCGTGGAGGTGTTGAAGGAAGACGATGAAGCCAGAATCCGAGCTTGCTACCATAAGTTTCTGGATATGGATGGCGATACCCTGGCGTGGATGATGGCCGTGGATATGGTGTTTTTGCTCGAGTTTCTTCAGGTTTACCACACACTACTATGTAGAATTTAAATTTATACACTAAGGGGCCGTTTACCTAATTGCTTACCCAGTAAGTGCTTACTAATAGGATTCAACATTATAATTTATGTTAATATGTAAGATTTTAGTACATCAAAACATATCGAATGCAACAAGTTTTTTGATAAGTGCTTACTTGGGTAAGAGTCATGCGATCTTTACTTACCGGATAAGACTCTTTATCCTTTTCATTGCTCTTACCCGACAAGATTCTTGGCCCTTTTTATGTCTTAAAACACTTGTTAAGACACCCTGTTTATCTACAAGCTTATTCTAACATCTTAAAATAGGACGAATACTTTTATGGTCTTATAAAACAGTTTGTTAGGACATTTAGACATTTGTGGGGATGTTATAAACTTAACGACATTTTTCGGGTCCCGTATAATGCAAGGAAGGTTCAAATAATAAAGGCAAAAAGATTGAAAACGTAAAAATAAATGATTTATAAACCCGGAAAAAGTATATTTGAAAATATATATGTAAACCCATGTTCGCTTACCTTTTTTTTTCTTTACTAATTATTCATATACGAAGATCGTTTTATCAATGATTCATATGTGAATAATTTATTCGTAATATCTCAATGTTTTGGTCTTTCGTATTTGAGGAGCGAGCTATTAAGAAATTTTCTGTAAAACCCTTGTACTGTCAGGTTTACTACATGAGGAAAGAGGGCGGTGGCTGGAGTATGGATATTGGTTCGAGATTGGCGAGTGTGGTTGACGTGTCTGGGAAGAAACTGTCTCACACGGCGATTCTCAGGGACGTGGTGAAGCTCGAGAATCAGATCCCATTGTTTCTGATCAAAACGATGATGGAACATGATCGGATTTCTGATAAATCCGCGGAGGAGACTCTCCGGATCATGCTGATGGCGCTGCACGACGAGCTTTCTCCATTCCAGTATCAACATCAGCCCCCTTGTGTTGCAATCGATGACTGTGATCACCTGCTAGATTTTCTGTACCACATGACTGTGCCTAATGATAAGGAGCTAGGGACCTCCATGGACGACGTCCATCTCGCAACAATCAATATTGATGCCACCGGAGAAAGAGACGGAGATGCCGGAGAAAATGAATCTTTTGCAAAACCAACTCATTTTAAACAGTTTCTTGGTTCCATTTGGAAGATTATCAAGAATGCAATCTTCGGTTTCCTAAGAATTGTCAAGAAGATAATCTCCTCAAGACTGATAATACTCGTAGTGAAATTGCCATGGATGATTATATCTCGGCTTCCCGTCCTCAAACACTTCAAAGAACCAGTTGAAAACATATTGGCAAATCTCCAAGGTGAAACAACGGAGAATCCAGAGGAAGAAACCAATGAATTGAACCCACCATTAATCGAACAAATCACGATCCCTTCAGTCACAAAAATGGCCAAAGCCGGGTTTTTTTTCTCACCCGTTAATGGCAAGATCTCTGAAATTCGCTTTAACGAGAAAACGAGCACCCTTTACCTCCCCGTGGTGAGTCATTTGCAAATATAGGGTCGTTTCATATCTATTGCAAAATAGGGTTGTTTCATACTACGATTGTCCCACGATACATGTCCATAACAAAAAAAAAAATATACATTTTAAAAATGTGTAATTATTTCATATTTTAATTAAGAGACAATTCTACCCTTAATAAAGGAGGAAATAAGGTCCACGGTTCTACAGTAGTCTTGTAAGTGTCACATGATTTTCTTACACGGTGGCTTTTTACACAGTTTCAAAAACGGTGTAAAGGGACTTTTACAATGGCGTAAGAAGGCCCTTTCCGTACTAATGAATTTGGACACATATTTTGGGACGACAGGAAGTATTTGTTCGCAAATATAGGTTTATTTCATATTTTTTTGGCAAATGGCTCCAGGTCCATTTGGACGTGAACACGGAGGTGTATTTGAGAAACTTGGTTGCATACGAAGCTTGTGTTGCATCAGGACCTTTAGTCATGGCTCGTTACACCGAGTTGATGAACGGGATCATCGACACCAAAGAAGATGCAAAGGTTTTGATGGATTGCAAGATAGTTTTTAACCATTTGAAGAGTGAAAAAGAGGTTGCAGATTTGTGGAATGGGATGAGTAAGTGTGTGAAGATGACCAAAGTTCCATTCTTGGATAAAGTTATTGAAGAAGTTAACAAGAGGTATAATCGAACATGGAGGGTGAAATTGGGGAAGTTCATGACCAAATATGTGTTTGGATCTTGGAAGTTTTTGACATTGTTGGCCGCTGTGTTTTTGTTGTTCTTGTCGACGGTTCAAACCATCTGCTCGGTCTATAGCTGCAATCGTGTGCTCCAACGTTTTCCCGAGCTCGATGAGCCACAATAGCAAGCAACCTCAACCTACTGCAACAACATGGGTCTTTTAGGTGGTCCAAATGTTATAGAACATCCTTATAGGGTACTTAAAAATGAGGCATGAGTTTTATGTTCAACAATTATGCACTCTTATATTGATTATAATAGCTATGTTTAGCTTCTGCAAATATATGGTCTTTCCAATGAGTTCTACTGGTTTTGAAAGTTTCAATCTTTCAAGAGATTTAGTGCGCAATTGAAGATTCCTTTGAATTTGTGTTGTGTTTCTTCTTCTTTTTCTTGTTGATCTTCTTGAAAAGTTGTTTCATAACACTGTTCTTCGATTTTGGGATCCACAATCAGAGGTATAGAAACCCTAGCACATGAGTGCAATCAAGAATCACGCGGACGTCCGCAACCTAAATGGAGAAACCTCTTTAAAAATCCTATCAACATTAAAGTTTATGACTTCTGAGCCGATTCCAAACAATGGAACTTGAATTCCAACATCTTTTCCAAAAGATAAACGGGAATCTGATTCTCTAACATCACAATATCTCTAAGAATCGCATCATGAGCAAAATTTTGACACGAAAAATCAACCAGATGCGACGTTCTTGACGACAATCTCGTAACCAATCTTCCTCTTTTGATAGCGTAAACATCAAGAAAACCAAGCAAGAAGGAAGCATCAAGAGTCATCATCCAAACTAGGGTTTCACTATCAAAATCCAAATACTTATATATATGGTAACAAGCTCGAATTTTTTACTCGAAAACCGCTAACTGAACCACGATTTGTTCGAACTCTAGACCACGTCTTTTAGTTGCTTTTGATATCTTTGAACAGCAGAAATCTTGTATCTTTCCATCTCGTACTCGTACAGCTCAGCTCGATCTCCAATGGTGATAACTGATAAGAATCTACTTAATGCTACTTCTTGTGGAATGTAACAATCTGGTTTTGTAGAAACTAAGCCTGTTGGGACGTTGAATACCCTCACCGGAATATAGAAATCTTCTTCTATATCTTCATCGATGGTTTGTCTGATCTGAAGGATCCACCTCCGGTCGCCAGAAATAAAATTTGTGTTTGAATTCATGGTGGGATATTGAGCATATTATGCCAAATTTGGCAATGGAAGTTATATGGGATTTTGTTTTATCAATCTACTGTACGAGCCGACTAATCTCATAGCAACCACCTGTTTTGCAGGTAGGCTGAAGTCATTGCATTTGAACCTACATGGTCACACAAGAGAATTTTTGTTTCTTTTTGAATTTGAACATAGGACCTCCAGACACTTTTGAACTTTGGAGTCAAGCTCAAACTAATCAGACACCACCTTATGGTTGTTATATGGGATTTAATACAACAATTTTAAACTAAAATAATGGTAATTAAAGCGTACTTAATTACTTTTTAATTTATTGCAATTAGTGGTAATGATCTTTAAATAACAAGTTGGCAATTGACATTGAATTTGACTAGGGAATATTTTTGAGAGATTTTGATTTATTGCAAGAATTTGTAATCTTTGGTGTGTTTGGTTCATTAGTGATTTTATAAGATGTCTAAATTGTCTAAGAATTCTGATAAAATATTTTATAGAACTTAAGTTTATAGGTCAAATTATAAAGCGTCTTATCTAAAAGCGTTAGAATAGGTTTATAAAAGGCATTTAGACGTTGTAACAAGTTTTTAAGACGTTTTTTTAAATAAAGTATTCAATTAGCTATTTTATAAGATACTTTTAAGAAATGTCTTATAAACTCGTCTTTTTTTAAGACATTTTTCAAATATTGTCGTATAAAATCGTTAATATGACACTTTATTTTAAAATCGTTCTAAAAAACTTATTGAAACGCGTAAACGCGTTTCATGAATCTATTGTAACACTTTTAGATGAGATAGTTTTTTGTTTTTTCTTATAATCAAAGTCCTATAAAATATATTTTTTAGGACAATACTATATTTTAATCGTCTTATAAAATCATAAGAACGAGAAAAACAATGTATTATGAATCATAGAGATGAAAATCATAATTTCAAAAGTATATGAACAAAAATAGCAATTTTCAAATAAACCACATGAACGAAAAACTTGATTAGCTTTTTGGTTCTTTACTCAGGGATGGGTCGGGGTTAGGTATTGTATTCCCTTGACTGGTCATGTACTCGTATATAATAAATAATAAATAATTTTAAAATATTACAGGTAGATAGATAGATAGATAGATAAATAAATGAATCGAGTAAGAATGAAAGTTGTGTTGAGAATGGAGATAATATTTCTGAACCTTTGGATTCATCTACTTTCAATAACTTTCATTTACCTTCAACTACATTTATCTACCTTTATTTTCAATTTTATCTTCATTTTAAAGTTATTTTTACGAACTTTTACATATACTTAATCATTTTCATATGCATTAATTTGTTAAAATTTTGGTCATAATGATATAAATATGTAAACATTGAGTTTAGATGAAGGGAGTCATATACGAAGCTTGGGTCTTGCAGTGGTATTTGGTAAAGTCATAAACGGACCCCATTGACCTTGAAAGAAACTCGGTAACGTTGATGTATGGCTTATTTTGTGTTATCCACATTCAATGGATACAGGTCACCTCCGTCACCGAAAAGTGTTTATGTTTTCAGTATTGTTTTGGGTACGGAGTGTATCCTTAATTTTTGGTTTTGATATGTTGGAAGTTATCCAAGTGTTGGTATTTCGGATAATAGAGTTTTATCCATATTTTTAGTATTTGAATATTAAAGCTTATTCACATCTTATGTGAGTTTTGGGTTTGGATTTCATGTTAAACGAGGGTTTAAGTTAATGAGTTTTAATCACAAAAATAATGGGTTTAGTATAGTCTAAAAAATAATTCATTAAACAGATCCAAAAAATTGTAGCATATAATAAGAGCCAAAAAGAATTTAGTTGATAATAAAAGCCCAAAAATATATCAACTAATTAGGTTGAAAAATAAAATAAATAAATAAAGTTAATTGGTCATTTGTTATATATTATTAATAATTACCTCTTTAATTTTTTATTTGGTATCAAGGTCCAGTCCTATTGACTATTATTATCTCTATATGTTTGACTGTGTTTGTGCTTCCACAATTCAATGGATAATAACTTCTACAAAACCTTGATAATTTTCTCTATCATTAATTGATCTCTAATTGACACTCTCGATTACTTCCTCTACAATGATTTCTTTTAATCAAAATAACGCATATATTATTTCTTGTTATATTTGAGCTAAGAAAATTCTTATCTTTTAAAATTCACCAATTATAGTAAATGGTCAAACCCGTATCTTTATTTTAGGACTTCTTCTATCTAGAATAAAAAACATTTGTCGTGTACAAATACTAGTGGTATGTGAGTCTTGACCTTCTAGCAAGTCAGAGGTTCAAACCTCACCAAAGATGAGAAGGATGTGTGAGTTTATCTGTTGTATTTGCCGTATATAAATACTATATACTTCAAAAAACACATTTATTGAAGAAAAAAAATCATACCGATCAAGGGACCCTGATTTTACATACGTCTAAACTACAAAATGTCATAAATTAGTATGTTTTTAACGTAAATTTTAAAAAATCTGTTAAACATGCTCTAAGTGTCCCTTAAGATATTCATTACGTTGTAATGTATATAACATATGATTCGAATTATCTTTTTCTTATGCTATGATTTTCTGATTGTTACTTAATCTTCCTATTTTACCCCTCATCCCATGCACATCACGTTGGACCACAACCCTATATATACAACCTTTCACTCTGCAACATACATACCAAGCTCACATTCTCTGAGTCGCCATGGCTTCTTCACTGAGCTTTTCTACTTCATATTCTTTCTCTAGACCAGACCTCGACCTTTCCAAATGGATCAGTAGTTTGAAGAAAACCATGGAAGACGACGACGAAGAAACCAACGATACCGACGTCTGTATCTTCACTGTACCCAAAACCCTACTCGACACCGACCCAGATTCCTACATCCCTGAACAAGTCGCCTTTGGTCCGTTCCACCAGTTGAGCCAGCAAGTCTACGATATGCAGAAATACAAGCTCGCGGCTGCGAGAAAGGTCCAGAAACGAAGGAACGTCAAGTTTCAAGTGATCGTGGAGGCGATGATGAAAAAAGATGAGGCCAGAATCCGAGCTTGCTACCATAAGTTTCTGGATATGGATGGCCACAACCTCGCCTGGATGATGGCTGTGGATATGGCGTTTTTGCTCGAGTTTCTTCAGGTTTACTAACACTCTGCCTTATAGTAGTACTATATGTTTATAAATTAGTGTTAAAATAAGTTTATATGAGGTACAATTTTTTACATTTTATGGTTCGTTTATCAAACGCTTACCTGAATAAGAGCTTGTTAAGTCAAATTACTTTACCGGATAAATATGGTAAGGACCAAGAATCTTACCCGGTAAGAGTGAGGCAAGAACAAAAGTTCGTTAAGTGAAGGTAATGACTCTTACCATATTAAGCGTTTACCGGGTAAATTGTTGCATACATTGTCGTTTTTGAAAACTAAAATATTACCCGATAAGTAAATGATAATGTTGTATTTTATCGATAAACGCTTACCGGTTAAGTGTTTGATAAACGGCCGTTTACTAAATGCTTACCCGGTAAGTACTTACCATATAATTTTTCTCACCGGATAAACATATATGGCAAGGGCCAAGAATTTTACCCGGTAAGAACGATGATAAAGATGAAAAATCTTACCCGGTAAGTACTTACCAGATAATTTTTCTCACCGGATAAACATGGCAAGGGCCAAGAATTTTACCCGGTAAGAACGATGATAAAGATGAAGAATCTTACCCGGTAAGTGAGGGTGACGCCTCTTACCCGGGTAAGTATTTACCAGGTAAATTGTTGCATGGGATACATTTTGATGTACTACAATCTTATCCAGTAAAAATTATAGTATTAACTCCTAAACATAGACATTTACCAGGTAAGTATTTAGGTAAACAACCTCTATAATATTCTATTAATAACTATGAAACAGCCCATTCATCATAACATTTAGATATGTTTGGAATTTTACAAACTGAACTCTTATAAACACTTGATTAAGACATTGTGGAAATATTTCAAATCTTATAAATTGACTTTTTTTTTTGTCATTTTACATGTTTATCGGCTAGTTTTTGTCAAACATGATTTGTTCATAAATTAGTTTATCAGCTACATATTATCTTATTGGTCATCAACTAGCTTATCAGTTATTAACTAACTTATCAACTAGTTTGCCAAACATAGTCTTAGATATTTTTGAAATCTTATAAACTCGAGTGTTATAAAACAGTTTATTAAGATATTTATACATATTTGATCCTATAAAATTAATTACTATAAATCAGTCGATACTGTAAACTTAATAACCATAAAAGAGTCCATTCGGATATTTTTAGACCTTATAAATGGAAGTCCTGAGAAAGGGTCTATTAACCCAATTTTGTTATGTTTTCAGGTTTACTACATGAGGGAAGAAGGCGGCGGCCGGAGTATGGATATTAGTTCGAGATTGGCGAGTGTGGTTGATATTTCCGGGAAGAAACTATCTCACGTGGCGATTCTCCGGGACGTGGTGAAACTCGAGAATCAAATCCCATTGTTTCTGATCAAAACGATGATGGAGGATGATCGGACTTTCGAAAAACCAGCGGCGGAGACTCTCCGGATCATGCTGATGGGGTTGTACCATGAACTTTCTCCCTTCCAGTATCAACATCAGTCCCCTTGTGTTGACATCGACGACTGTGATCACCTACTAGACTTTCTGTACCACATGACAGTGCCAAATCATAAGGAACTAGGGATCCCCACGGACGTCCTTCATACAACAATCCCTGTTACTGACATCGCAGGGGGTTCTAGAGAAAAAAAAGCTTTCGCGAATCCAGGTCATCTTAAACAGTTTCTTGATTACATTTGGAAGATCATCAAGAAGGCAAAATGGCCTTTAAGCAAACCGATGACACTCGTAACGAAATTGCCATGGAATATGTTATCTAAGCTTCCCATCGTCGAACATTTAAAAGAACATGCTGGAAAGATGGTGGCAAAACTCCATGGTGAAAAAAAGGAGAAGCAAGAGGATGGATTAATCACCAACTCGAACCCGCCTGTAATCGAAGAAATCACGATCCCTTCGGTCACAAATATGGCGAAAGCCGGGATCTTTTTCTCACCCGTTCATGGAACGATCTCCGAAATTCGTTTTGACGAGAAAACAAGCACCCTTTACCTCCCCGTCGTAAGTCATTTGCAAAACATACGGTTGTTTCGTATCTCTTTGCAAAAATAGGGTTTTAATTTTTCGTAGTCCCTCCGTCCCAAAAAAAAAATAGTAAATGACAATTTTATCCTTAATAGCCGCGGAACTAATGGATTTCTCCAAGGATAGAATCGGAAAATGACATTTTTAAAACCGGAAATTTACTTTCGGGCATGGATCATATTTGCAATATTAATAGGATTGTTTCATGGTTCTTTTGCAAATGTTTCAGGTCCATTTGGACGTGAACACGGAGGTGTACTTGAGAAACTTGGTTGCATACGAAGCTTGTGTCGCATCTGGACCGTTAATCATGGCTCGTTACACTGAGTTAATGAACGGGATTATCGATACCGAAGAAGATGCACAGATTTTGATGGATTGCAAGATAGTTTATAACCATTTGAGGAGTGAAAAAGAGGTGGCAGATTTGTGGAATGGGATGAGTAAGTGTGTGAAGATGACCAAAGTTCCATTTATGGATGAAGCTATTGAAGGGGTTAACAAGAGGTATGATCGAACATGGAGGGTGAAATTGGGGAAGTTCATGACCAAATACGTGTTTGGATCTTGGAAGTTTTTGACATTGTTGGCTGCTGTGTTTTTGCTTTTATTGTCGATGGTTCAAGCCGTCTGTTCAGTTTATAGCTGTGCTCGTGTGATCCGACAGCTCCCCGAGCTCGATCAACCGCCACAATGAACGAGATCCACTATAACGAAATGGGTATTTTAGAACGTCCAACGGACGTCCTTATGTATGGTACTTAAAATGAGAGTTGTGAGCTTTATGTTAAGTTAGAACTATGTGTCTTATATTGATAAAAGAAACTGTGTGACAAATAAAATGAATAATAAAAATATTTATTTTTTGTGTCCGATTGCTTATTTCTATCAATTTGAAGTCGTTACTTCGTCCTTAGGTGCTGTTTGTAGATGCCCAACGTAATAAAATAGATATAAACCAAGATCTATATGTTATTTATTTAATAATAATTACTGATGCATGAATAATAAATGCATTCTTAGGTATCATTTACGAAACGCTTATATAGGTAACCGTTTATCGAGCCATATTACCTTTCTCGGGTGAGTACGGTAAAGGATCAAAAATCTTATCCGGTAAGAACGAGACGAGGACCGAGAGTCTTACCTGGCGGTAAGTGAAAAGTTTATCACGGATAACACTTACCGGGTAAAATGAAAAAAATACGATGTCGTTTTGTTGACTAAAAATATTACCTGGTAAGTAAATGATAGTGTTAAATTTTAGCGATAGATACTTATCGGGTAAGTATTTGGTAAACGGTCTTAATTAAAATTCTATAATAAAATATACTACAACAAAATCGGGTTTATAGAACACTCCTAATTTCTAAGCGTCCTAATAGACCTCTTTATAAGACTTAGTTTAAAGAACCAAAAAAATAAAACGTCCTATCTAAAGGCGTTAAAATAAGTTTATATGATTTTTTTGATGTCGTAATAAGTTTTTAGGATATTTTTAATATAAAGCGTCTCATTAGCAACTTTATCGGACACTATTTGAAAAACTGTCCTATAAAAACAAATGTCCTATAAAAAACTTGAGTTTATAGGACACTTTCTAAAAAGTGTCTTATAAATTTGCTAATGCGACATTTTGTATTAAAAATGTTCTAAAAAACTTGTTAAGACGTCCAAAAGCTACATATAAACTTATTACAACACCTTTAGATAAGACATTTTATATTTTGGTCATATAAATTAAGCCCTATAAAACGGTTTATTAGAACGCTTAGAAATTAAGGGTGTCCTATAAACACAATTTTATGATAGTAATAAATAGACACTTATTTTTTAAAGTACTGAAAATAAAAATTATATCTATTTAATTTAGAAGAAAAAATTAAAAGATATTGTTTTATTATGATTATACAAATTTATAAGTAATTAATTGTTTATGGAAAATAGCGACTAAAAGAATTATAAATTTGAAAGTTGATAGGAAGAAGTAAGAGAGAAAGAGTGTTTGATGTACATACATATATACATACATAGAGAGTTTGTTTCAAATATAAACTATTGTATTTATACAACCAATACAACTCAATAAATTATGATATTTATAGAAATGTTGAGAGTTCATTTATTATGATTTGAATATTTATGAAAGATGAATATGATTCATTAATTATAATCAATACTTTATATTAGGAAATAATCAAAACTTCTATGAAATCACATATTAATTAAATGAAATTGATGGTTAAAATTGGGTTGTATTGGTTGCACAAATGTCACGGGTTGTATATATAATAACAAACCTCTCTCTCTCTCTCTCTCTCTCTATATATATATATATATATATATGGGTTGGTTCAAATACTAACCAATATTTTTGTGTTAACTTTGTTAACCAAGCTCAACCAATCATATTTCATCTTTTCTTTAGGTTCACATATAACTCATATATATAATGACAAGGGTAATTAAGTAATTTGTCATTTATGTAACTCCCAAATCATTAATTGGGAGTTACAAATCTAAAAATCTCAATAATTGATGATTATGTAATACTATATTTTTTTATGGGGTCATTTTCTACACCCCCTTCCCTCACAAACTCACTCCCTCACATACTCACCCTCTCTCACATTCAACAAATTTTTGTAAAATAATAATTTTAAATTTACACTTTATACCCTTATAATTAGTTAATTAATTTACTTTACATCATTTACTTTTAAATTTTTCATTTTACACATTTATCAAATTAACATACATAATCGTATATTAATTAAAATATGTTTAAAAAATACATTTTTATTTTAACAAGTTACACCATTATAATCGTCT